ATATATTAAAATGCAATGAGAGAATTGGCAATTTTGTTTTTCCAACTCTGTTTGTTTCCAGTCTAGAATAAGAGAGAGCTGACTTCTCACATCTGTCCCTATATCCAGTGTGTTGGGGTCACGCAGGTGATCTGGGTTCTATAAAACCCCTGCCGTACACTCAGGAGACCAAGGGAAACAGCACCTTAGTAGTTAAATAAAAGTAGTTGTACCCTAACAGATGCTTTGAAAAGATCTCAGGGATCCCAGAGATCCCCAGGCTGTACTCTGAGAACTGCTGATGTATGCTGTGTGCCAGGCAGTGTGAACCCCTTCTCCCAGCATCCCTGTGGGGAGATACTTATGCACCCCAAAACTCGACAGCACAGAAGGCATGTGTGACTCACCCAAGGTAACACAGCCTGTCCACCTTCCTCCCTTGGTAAGTTTTAGACCACAACAGGGAGCTGTGAACCTTCATGCTGGCCCTTGAGGCCCAGACCCCCTTGGTTGGACAGAGTGGGCACAGGGATAACTCAGCCCCCTGCCTGCCCTGAGGTTCCCTGGAATATCAACAGAGGTGAGGGTGCTCAGGGGCCTGGAAGGTCGGGCAGAGGAGGGGCAAGAGCGTGGGCAGTGGAAGCAGACGGACTCGGTGTAGAGCCTCCCCAGGACGCATGCGCAAACCCTCCCTCAGCCGCCTCTGTCAGCCCTCGTATATGTGGGCCTCCCAGTGCCAGGGAGTTGTGCACAGGAAGGACGCACTTAGCACAGTGCCCAGGGTGGGGGAAGCTCTCAACAACTGGGGGTCTGGGACTGTGATGATCCCCACTGGGAACAAAGCCCAGTGAGAGTCTGCTGAACAGGACATGGGGGAGGGAGCTGCAGGGAGCGCAGTGCTCTGGACCTGCTGGGGCTGACAGCAGGAGTCTTTCTCTCCCCCAGCTAGGCAGGAACTCAGACCCTTCAGAGCAGCCCAGCCAGCCTGTGATGCCGCTGCAGCAAGAGCCAGGAAATAATACCCAGCCTCGCTCTGATCTCTCTGTCCTTTCTCCTGCTGGGCCCCCTGAGTCGGAGCCAGCTTCCTTGGCATTTGACTTTTTTTTTTTTTTTTTTTTTTTGTAGAACTGGGGATTGAACTCAGGCCCTTGCACTTGCCAGGCAAGCACTTATTCTCCTGAGCTATCTCCTGGCTCCTTCCTTGGCATTTGACCGTGCACAGGACCCTGTGCTTGGTTTAATGCCTCGTTGCCCTGCTGAAAATTCTTAATACTGTTTATACAAAGGATGCTTCATTTTTAAGTTGCCCGGGGCTCTACAACTTATGTCCAGAGCCCAACTCACCTGGGAACCAGAGGGAGGAACCAACTGATGTGGCCTAAAAAGGGAGCACCCACACTTTCATGCACGGAGCATGGGCAGAAGCGTGGGTGTGGGTCTGGAGGGTCAGACAACACCTGGACCAACAGCAGTCTCCGCTAGGATTCTTCATTAGCTGTGATTGCATATTCTTCCCTAGCAGCGTCTGGCAGTGGCTGAGGACGCAGACTCAGGGCTCAGACAGGTCTGGGTTTGAATCATAGTTTTGCTACTGCCTACCTGTGCAGTCCTGCCTCTTGCTCTGTCCCTGGTGCCTCCTCTGTGCACTAGCAAGGACCCTAGTGCTGACCCTTCGGGGACAGCAGGCTGGTACAGGGTGCAGGGTGCAGAGCCTCGTGGACAAGGGCACGGATGCTTGAGCCAGGCTGGCTCTGAGTTACCAACCGGGTGGCCTGGGGGTGTTACTCCTGCCTCAGTTTCTCTGATGGCCATACTTCTAGCAGTGATTTCCTATGGCCACTCTGATGATGAAGATACATAATAGGTAGTTTTACAGTTGCTGTCCTGGCATCTCCAGGCTCTGGTTTTTGTTGAGAAGTTGTCAGTGCTATATGGTAAGGCTGCGTCCACAAGTTCTTGTGCTTAGCTATCTGCCCGTCTTTGGTTATTTCTGGGGTGCACAGTTATTTCATTGTTTCTGTTCATATCACATTTGGGGCGTTTCTCCTCCGTGTAAAAATGTCTATTGAGGGTGACATATGGAGTATGAAGCTAGCGTTAATTGCAGGAGCTGTGTGCGGCTCCGCTGATCATGCCAGTTTCAACCCTGGTCCTTATGCTGACTGACGCCATTTTCCTCACAGAAGGACCCCTTCCCTCGTCCACCCTGGGCTGCACTTGCTGTCATCAGACTCTTGATTTTCCCCAGTCTGTGGCTGGGAAGGGCTGTCTCACTGTGCCCTGTTCATTTGCATTTTTAAATTATTTTTGTTAACTGAGGAAGGTGGGCCTCCTTGTCCCTCTTTTTGACCATTTAGATTTCAGAGAAAGGATTTGGGTCCCCTGACTTCAGCCAGAGCACCCAGAGCACAAGTTCTGTTCTTTTTCTCCCTGGGGAATGGTGGGGACCTGCCAAGCTTAGCAGATCATGATGGTGGGACTCAATTGTCCAGAGGTGAAGCTGAGGACCAGAGGGGACAGAGAACTGGCCTGCAGGCAGGCAGCGGGTGCCAGTGGCAGCCTGGGCACAGGTGTCCCCGTTACAGGATACTGGAAGGCAGCAGGGTGGACCCAAGTAAAGATGAGGCCCGTATGCAGGTGAGGGCTGCCGTGAGCTGTGGCTGGCGCCTGAAGCCTTTTCCCCAGCAGAGGGAGCCCGAGGCAGGCAGTGACCCTGTCTGCGCTGGCTCCCAGATGGAGCCCAGCTGGGCCCCGGGAGCTGGCAGAGGGGTGGGCGGAAGAGAGGGGCCTCCCAAGGCCTGCTGTCCCCTGGGGCTGCCTGAAAACCTGGGCACTGGGTATCTGCAGCAGGGAGGTCCTGGCTGCCCCCTACCCATCTTTGTCCCCCACCTTGTCTCTTCATTTGAATTTTCCATTACTGCCACCCTCTTTTGTCTCCCCTCCTTCCTTCTGTTGATCTTGCATCTTCCCCTTTCCCCCTCCTCAGCCCCTGCAGCAGGGACCCCACCTCTCAGGTCCACGTGACTCAGAGTCCTCCCCCAGGGCCTCCTGCCCAACTGTCCTACTGTCCAGCAGCCAGATGGTGGAGTCCCAGGCTCCCGCTTCCCAGCTGGCCCAGCTGGCCTGGCTCAGCCTCAGGCTCCTGCATGGAGGGTGGGGCTGGTCTGCTGCCATCGGAGGGGGCCAAGCAGGAAAATGCTCTGGAGGCTCTGCAGCTGCTCGGCGGCATCCACGAAGCTTTCTCTGCCCTGTGGAGAGCCCATTTTCCCCTTTGCCTTCTCTGCCCAACATTTCCACATTCCACTTATCATGGCTGGGGTAGGAGCCCAGACCCTGGAGCTGTGCATTCTAGTGTTTGGATCCCCATTCCATCACCATGGGACTGAGGGCTGGGGACCCCACCCTTCTGAGGCAGGCTGTCCAGTTAGAGGGAGGCAGAGTGTGGAGAGCTTGGGTTCAGAGTCTGGCCCTGGTTTTGAATCCATGCTCCTCTCTGAG